AAAAAGGTCACCTAATCATACCCTTTTATTTATGTCCATGTAAATAAACTGTGAAAATTAAAGTTATTTCTCTTTTTTAATAGAAGCGATAGTCTAAACTACAAAGGGATGAAGTTTCTTACACGCACACTACTAAGGTACTATGGAAATTCGAACCCTCGACAGTGAAGGCCTTTTCCACTAACTAGACCATGTTGGTAAATTGAAGTTATTTCTTATGAATATGAAAATAGGGTTGTAAAATGCAGTCTCGAATGGTCTAGGCATATAGCATGCATGTGAGCTTTCTTTGTCCCCAACAACAACAAAGCTTCAACCGGTCAAGCGTATAGTTGATGCATCATTGAAGGCTCTTGATCATAATGATTTGTTTTACAGCAACAAATCCTAATAATTATGAATAACTTTATGTTTGAGAAAAGTAAAGGCTAAGGAACACTTTTTTTAATTACTTTTGTTTTTTATGTTTTCGTGTAGTGAGTATACCAACATTCTCTGGTTTGTGCTGTGTACTTCATCTGCGTGGTAGTTTGATGGGTGGAGAGTTTGCTTATTTTCCAAGTCAAGCCAAATGCTTCAGCAAAACCACTTCAACGCAGACATTTTACAGCTCATGTCAATCCATGAAAATGAAAAATAAAAACTAAATACGTCATTAAAAAAAAAAAAGAATAAGTTCTGCTCTTGCAGAAATAAAAAAAGGTATGACGGCGATGGTTTTCTAACACTTGAAATATGAGGGAGACAAAGGAAACATCAAATTAAGAGTGAGAAGGTTTGTAGGGCCGAAATAATTATAGCCTCTAAAATAGTTTGGATGAAGCCTAAATACAATGTATATATAATTGAAAAAATAAATTTTAAGGTTTTATTCTATTGATTTAAGAAAATTCTATTGGGGTTTAGAGGATTTTAAACATACATTGGCAAAACATGCATATATGAGCTTAGCCAAGTGGGATAGAGAGGATATGCTCTCCACTCTACTCAAGTTTGAATCCTCATTCCTGTAGTTTAGATTAGATTAGAAGTAGATTATCACTTATATTAAGAGGCAAAACATGCATATATGAGCTTAGCCAAGTGGGTTAGAGAGGATATGCTCTCCACTCTACTCAAGTTTGAATCCTCATTCCTGTAGTTTAGATTAGATTAGAAGTAGATTATCACTTGTATAATTTGTATAAAGGCAAAATATGCAATTTATATATGGGAGATATACTATTATTTCATTCTTCTTTGAGAGATATGCATTAATTTATTTCCTAACTTAACTGGATTTCCAGCATGCATTAGAAATAGCCATTAATTTATTACCTAATATCGTAATGAAAGTTATAAGTAGGAGCAAATATTTATTTTCTAATTTAATTTGATAATTAAATAATTATCCTAGTGTAATATTAATGTTTGGTTGGATATATAATATTAATGTTTTTTTGTTATTGAAGATAATAATTATCTACTTGCAACAATAATGTACTTAATTTTTCCTATTGATTTGATGCTTTAGGTTTAGAAGTATAAGGCTTACGACACATAAATATTTATTTCCGCATGCTTTATTCTTAAAATTGGCAAGTAATTTTTGTGTGGATATATACTACTAACTAAACATAGGTTTTTCAATACTATGTGTTAATGAGTGTTGATACCATTCCCCTTGCTCATGTTTGTTTTTGCTACATTGGAAGAAAGAAACCCCATTGGATTTCATTCTATTTGACTAGAGTGGTTACATTACAAAGCTTACATCTCCATCGAAGTAGCTGTTTTTCTAAATTGAGTTGAATTAATAGAAATTTGTGTAGTTTCTCTCTAATATCGGTTATTTTATAGAAATTTGTGTTATTTTAGAACCTTACCTGAACCCTAATTGTTTCTTCTTCAAGTTCTTCTTCTCCATATGGGATTGCTTTTTTTGGCCAAAAATCTGCTTCACTTTAAAGTTAAGTAGTTTAAGGTGTTGGGTAAAAATAAAATATCCCGATTATTTTAAAAGCAGTGGCCTTTTGACAGCTACTTTTAAAAGTAGACTCTGGGTTTCTTTTCAAAACTACTTTTAAAAGAAGCAGAGATGAACCTTTGATGAATTTTTTTAATTCACAAAATATCATCATTAATTTTTTAAAAATGACCCACCACATCCACCTCCACCACCACTGCCACTACCACCACCACATCCTTCTCCTCACTGGCGGATCCACAGAGGCGCAAGGAGGTGCAGCTGCGCCTCCCCTCGCCGGAAACTTCCTTGGGGATGCCGGAATTTGCCCCTTTGCTAGTGCCCACCAATTGTTCGACTAAATGCCTCAAAGACGTTGTATTGTTTGCTGTTGTGTGAGACCCTAAATATTTACCTTATATTGTTGGGCTCGATCTCACAAGCATGTAGGAGAAAACGGTTCATCAATCGAAGCTACACAACCAAAGTTATGAATTTTCGAAGTTTTTCTTGAATATTTGAAGTTAAGTTGAAGAGGCACAGTTTAAGGAAGAAGAAGACTCCGCGTGCTTCTGATTTTGATTCTTTTTTAAATGGCCAATAGCAAGCCAACACATGTCTATTTCTAATTGGCCTAGCTTAAAAATTCATTAAAAACCCATATGTGTGCCAAAAAATTCACCGAAAATTACCCCAAACTTTTAATCACGTGTACTTTTATTTCATGACCTCCAATTTACATGTGCTTTTGGTTAGATTAATTGGTATTGACTTTTGTTAGATTAATTATGTAATTGACATGGATTTTTATTCATATTTAATATGAATTTTAGTAAACTAACTATGTCAATGACAAGGATTTTGTTCATATTAATTGATATCCATATAGACTATAATCCATTAGTTACTCTTATTTGTTTTAATTATGAGTGACATTAGGATTTTGCACCTCCCCTGAAAAATTCCTAGATCCGCCACTGCTTCTCCTCCTCCTCCGCCACCACTACAACCTCCTCTTCCACCTCCACCACCTCCACCTACACCTCCACTTCCACAACCACCATCCTCTCCACCACCACCTCCACCACCACCACTACCACTATATGATTAGCGCGTAACACTTTCAACATCATGTCTGTTTTAGTTATTATTCACAGTTACAATAATTTTATATTAAAATTTACCAAACCGTTTTGACAATGCTTTTTGTATTAACAGCACTTTAAAAATATTGTTTGTTTACTTTACAACTAATTATTTTCAAAGCACAACAGAAGCAACTTTTTTAAAAAGTGACAGAAATCCCAAACTGCCCTTATTACTTGCAAAATATAAGGGAGATTCAAAGAAGCATATCTAAGGGGCAACAAAAACCCTGCGTTTAGTGGCACAACATTCTTTCATTCAATATCGGCTTCAAAATTCTTCAGTTATAGTTCTCTCTTTTGAGTCATTCAGTCATTGAATTAGTACTATCCATCATCTGATTTTGCTGTTAATTGAGAAAGTATAGAAGACTTTGGATAAGGCTACTCAGACATATTGACGTTCACCTTGCCATTCCCTATGCTTGCTTACCCTTTCTATCCGGTGAGACTCCTGTCTTGCTTCTTAGTTATTTACACATAATTAATGAGCTTGGGGATTTCTTTCTCTGATTGGGTATATGATGCTGATTTCTTTCAATCACATTGGAGTCGGAGTCCAGGAAAGAGTGGCTCTCATTTTGATCCAAAGAGCGAATAGTTTGTCCCAAATGAAAGGAAAATATCATTACCTCCATGCCTGTTGGACAGCAATGGCTGCGCTGCTAGTCGGTCTGTCTTTCGTAATGGGTCCGGGCCAAATGCGTAAGCTCTATGGCGGGTATGTTCTATTTCTTGTGCTTCTACATAATTGGTAGAAAATGAAAATCTCTACCATTCTCACATTAATGTCTTTGGACTTACGTTCAAATGCTGTTGTTTGTCATGTGGTTGGACTTAGTCACTTACTTGCATCACCATGGCCATGAGGACAAACTCTCATGGTATCGTGGAAAGATAAAGTGTTCAATTTATCACCTATCCGAGAAATGTCAACGCTTTAGCACTTATTGAACTGAATAAGGCTGAAGTTTGGTTCTGCATTTATCAAACAGGAATGGAGTTATCTAAGAGGATGATTGACAACCCTCCATCGAGACTACGGATTGATCAACAACATCCATCATGACATTGGAACCCATGTCATACATCACCTGTTCCCTTAAATCCCACACTATAGCTTAGTAGAAGCAGTGAGTACCACTTATGCCTAAACACCATTTAGCTGGGAAAAATCAATTCAATTATGTACCCCATTTTGATATGGTTCTTGTTCATATTAATCTTTTCAGATGGCGGCAGCTAAGCCTGTGCTTGGGAAGTACTACAGAGAGCCAAAGAAATCTGGGCCTCTCCCACTTCACTTATTGGGAGTTTCTTAACTTATAACAAGCATAAAACGTGATCATTACGTCAGTGATACTGGGGATGTTGGATATTATCAAACTGATAAGAAACTCGGCGGGTCAGTGTTTTGATTAATATTATATGAAAAAACACTGTATTCTAATTTTATTATTACTTGACACACCAGTAACTAATTGGCCATGGCGTTAAAAATTGTATGAATGTTACAAGAGCTCAGAAGTTCAAAATTTTCCCGATATATTAAAAAAAGAAAAATATAAAATAGTAATAATAAGATCACAAACTTCCTCTAGTCTCACTCTCATAGAATAACCTTTGAGTGCCATTGTTCTTCTTCTTCAACCAAATCCCCATAATTCTTTAGAGAAATCATATTGTCGGTACAACTATGGATCGTCATATGAGTTTGTCTATCTTTGAGTAGTACACTCTTCATGGACTTACGTGTTAGATCCACAAAGAATATACTTCTCCTACATAGATAGTTCTCCTCGTGGAAAAATATACCGTGCTCCCACTCGCCAAAGTCGAAAACCCCAGACGCATGAGTCCCGAGACGAAGAGGATGTTTGTGCATAAATATTTTGTAATTTAGCACCCACTCATGTTTCTTCATGTTTCTTCTTACCATCATAATTTTTCAATACCAATACCCATATCTCTATATCTGACGAAGAAACATCAACTAGGGCCAAAGATCCCCTGAAATTAAGCAAGTGAACAAAAAGCGAAAGATCCAGCTTTATTTTTAAGGCAAGGGGATGAGGAGTCCAATAGAACTCCTCGTTCTTGAAGTCAAAAGAAAGTATATGTACCGACAACTTGTCATCTCCACTAATCAGCCAATGCACGGCTCCATGTGTAGATGTTGCCACAGTGCAAGATGGATAGCAAGGGGGAGCTGAGGGTAACTCCTTCCACGAGCTTGTCCCCAATACAAGAACTTCAGCCGTCACCACTGTCTGGCGGTCCTCCTTTAGATAGCGGGAGACACGAACAATCTTGTAGGTGTTTGTCATATTATCAAATCCCATGCCAAAAGTATCACTGTTGCAGAAACTATTAGGTGGAACTTGGAGGTCACTCTTAGTTGGGAGCATTAGAACTTCTCTCTTCAAAGGATTCACCAAGACAAATGATCTTCCATTCCTCACATCAGCCCTCGTAAAGCCAAACAAGTTGCAGAAAATAAAATCGTGCTCATAATAAGAACCCATGGACTTTAATTGAGGAACAATTGCATGTTTGCTCTTTGTCAATGAGTCGCCATCGTATTTCAATGGGTGCATCCTTTGTTCACCAAAGGGAGAGGGAGAAAGAAGAAAAAGTCGAGGTACTTGATGAATTTCCGTGGGTAAGGCGTCCATCAAGAATTGGATCCGCAAGAAGTTGTTCACTTGATCAAGACTAATGTACGGATTTTGGAGATGAAAATATTTGTTATATGTCTTCAATTGCTCATCCAGCTCCCCTATTTATATACAAATAGATATCTTCTAATATTTTAATTCAACGTCCTAAACCCTAATGCATGTTGGAAATCAAATTAAATTAGGAAATAAATTAATGTATATTTCTATTTATCCTAATTACACTAGGATAATTATTTAATTATCCAATTAAAATATTTGTTGTCTAACCTAAAACTAAGCATTAGGAACCCATTAAGCATAGAAGAACAATTTAAACAACCAAGCATGTATCTAATCCTTGTTGTCGAATGTCCATACATACTCTTCCTA